AGGGAGCAAAGGGAGTTCAGAGAGGAGAGAGCTCTGCTGCCCAGTTGGCCTCCCCCGACTCTTGCTTGCCACCGCCTGCAACCACATCTTCCTCCTAGACCCCTGGCTTCCTGGCCCCCCATGCCCCATCTTCTCTGCCCTCTTGTAGCTACCTTGGAGGGTTATGCAAGCTTGTGGTAGTGAGAGAGGGAGTAAACAGGAAAGCACAGACTTCTTAGCCAATACTGCCCTTCTCTCCAAGGATTTAGAATGAATGAAATAGGATAGCTTAGTTCAGGTTCAGTACCAAGAATATTTTGCTCTGGTTGTGCTTTAGTTATGTAGATTTGATTCCAGCTTGAACTGGTTCATTAAGTGATGTTGGGAAGGTTAGAGTGAGGTTGCAGAAGGAGGGAAAAAAATTGTGATTAGGTCTTTGCTTCAGTAAAAAGGTAATGATTGGGATTAGTCCTGGCTGGGATGCAGCAGAATGTATGATAGTAAATTCTCTTTGACTCAGTCCGAGCCCTAACCTGGCCATGGGTACTGTTTAGGCCCAGGGATCAAAGAGGGAAGGACAGATCTATAGTACTACTCTGCTTTCCTCCTGGTTTGGTATTCAGGTATTTGGAATTTGAGAATTCAGGCAAGTGTCCAGACACATGGGGGGAGGGTGGCTGCTCCAGCTGGCAGGAACTTAACCAGTTTCCCTAGACAGGGAGATCATAGGCCAGGTCCAAGGGAGGGGTAGGTTCTACAGCTTCTGGAACTCAGGGAGCACTTTGAGAGGATCTAAACCCCCATGGGGAGGAACATTTGCCAGGGAGAGGGTGGTGAGTGGCTCTGAGACATTTCTCCTTCAGAGGTAGGTGCATTTCATACTCAGAGAAGAAACAGAGCCTTAAACATCCCATTTGTATGGAGATGGAAAACTGAGGTCAAGTCAACCAGAGATCATGACTATCACATATTCCCTTGACCTCCTGCAATAGCCCAAGAGCTGTTGTAAATAAAAAGCTACTACATTTCTAGAAGTGTCTCATGGAAATTTGGAGATCTGTCCATCTGAGGGAGTCTTTAAGTGGTCACTCTCACTGCCATCGAGCCATTTCTGACTCATAGTGGCCCCTCCTTGGGTTCCCAAGGCAGTATCTCTACGGAAGTAGATTGCCCAATCTTCCTTCCGAGGAGTGGCTGGTGGGTTTGAACCACTAGCCTTCTGGTTAGCAGTCAAATGCCTTAGGCAATATGCCACCAGAATTAATGCACTTGGCTGCTAACCAGAAAGCCCAAGGAGGGGTTGCTGTGAGTCGGATCTGACTCGACGCCAGTGAATTTGGTTTTTTTTTTGGGGGGGCATTTCAAGTCCACCCAGAGAGGTCTCAGAAGAAAGGCCTGGTGATCTACTTCTGAAGAATCAGGCTTTGAAAACCCCATGAAGTGCAGTACTGCTCTGACACACATGGGCTCACCATGAGTCAGAGTCGACTCCATGACAACTGGTACTGGTCCATATAAGGGAGAATGCCGCTTTGAATGTTAAGCAGAATCATTTTAATTGTGAAGTTTTAACAAGTAGAGACCTTCCTTCTTGCTTTTGCTTCACCATCATAATCAGAATTGCTCCAGGGTGGAGGGTTGTAGCCTCAGCCCCATAACATCCTCCCTGACGTCTTCCTCTGCCCTACAAGTGCAGTAAATGGCTCTCTGAACCCACCTCAGAGAGGCTGGCTTTAGTAACAGTTGCCAGTGCAACAGCTTTGAGCATAAGAAAGCTACCAGCCCGGTAGAAAAAGGGCAGGAATGGAGCTTAGGGGAAAAGGGAGAGAGCCTCACACAAAGCTAGGCAATCCACAAGGAGATTATCTAAGACAGGTGTGAGAGTGAGACAGGAAGCTAAGGGAAAAGTGTATTTGGTTTCATTGAAGTTGCCTCCTTAACTTCAAGCCAGAGTTCCCCAAATCACCCACAAAAATGATGGACACAGCTTCTTGCTCTAGGTCCTGATGCACTGTTTCCAAACCCGAGGTCTAGTACAAGGCCTTCAGGCAGGAATCTGCTGTTTCTGCAACTGGGAACTCCAAGGCCAGAGCTTCTCACCCATGCCCATTCTAGTCTTCCTAGTCTAGTCCTGCCCAACAGGTGCAGACCATACCCTGTCTCGGGGCACTCATATACGAAAATTCTCAGGACAGCTATTGTTGGGGAGTGCCTCATATGATTCTGACTCATAGCCATCCTAGGACAGAGTAGAACTCAGGATGGTAGAGGAATGTGAATGGAAGCCCTGGTCCCTCTTCCTCAACTCTACAATGAATAATGCTTTGATCCTCCCCACTCTACCAATAGGAGCTGAAAATACATCATCCTTATATGTTTCTTGGGACATTAGGCACCAAGCTTGGTTATTGGAATAAGTCATGGTCCCTGCCCTCAGAAGCTCTCAGTGTGGTAGTGAGAAATGGGCAGAGGCAAGGAGATGGTAGGAAGCTTTCATCTTGAAATCTTCCAGAGCACGAGTCTTTTGACCTCACTTTGATACAGCACTTTAGGTCCATGCTGCTTGTTCACAGTTCATGTCCTTTCAACAGCATTCTCAAGCATTCTCTTTTATCTATCACCAGCTATGTTACTAGCCTTGTTTTAGTCATCAGAGGTTTATAAGAGACATGGAAAACACATCCTTGCCTTCAAAATGTTGATGAGATTTACACACATATGAAACAATTAGAGAACAATTCAAGTAGATAGCCAATAAATGTTAGCTAGTACATGTACAATGAACAAGTCAATTGATTATAATCTAGGAAAAAAGGCATCTGGATGGGGAGCAGTCACTGTAGGCAGAGAGGTTGGCAGTAGGCTAAATGGTTCCAAGGTTTTGTGGATAAGGTGGGACTTAGCTCAAACTCCCTGCCACTGAGTCAAGTCCAACTTATAGTGACCCCTATCAGGTTTCCAAATCTGTAAATCTTTATGGAAGTAGATTGCCTCGGCTTCCTTCTGTAGAGCAGCTAGTGGGCTTGAACCACTAGCCTTCTGATTAGCAGCAAAATTCTGTACCCACTATGCCACCAGAGCACTGGGCCTTAGCTAGGGGATGTTTTAGTGGGCAGAGGGCAAAGACAAAGGAAAGATGTAGAGGATACTGGTAAACAATTGGCAAAAGTTCTGGGGGTAGGAGCACATTCAAAACAAGGACTCTTTGCCACCAATGTTTTGTAAGACCTTAAGGACCCCTTTTCTCTGTGTCTCAGTATTCTTTACAGGGGTTACACAAGATTAAAAAAACAGTTATCATCAAGTCAGCTCCAACTCATGGTGATCCCATGTATGTGAGAGTAACTGTGCTCCACAGGGTTTTCAAAGGTTGATTTTTCAGAAGTAGATCACCAGGCCTTTCTTCTGAACTGCCTCTGGGTGGACTCGAACCTGCATCCTTTCAGTTAGCAGCCCAGTGCATTAACTGTACGACCCTGGGACTTCTAGATAAGATTCATGGTTCTCAAGCTCCCTGCTACCAGCATCCTGGGAATTTGTTAGAAATGCAAATTCTAGGTTTTTACCCCTAAACCAAAACCAAACCAAACACAGTGTCGTTGAGTCGATTCTGACTCATAATGGCCCCCGTTGGGCTTCCGAGGCAGTAAATCTTTACAGAAGTAGATTGCCCAGTCCTTCTTCCAAGGAGTGTCTGGTGGGTTTAAACCACCAACCTTCTGGTTAGCGTCAGATGCCTTAGGCACTGTGCTACCAGAGCTCCTTTTATCCCCTACCGAAATCAGAAATTTTGGGGTACATTCCTGTAATGTATTTTAACAAGTCTTCCAGGTGATTCTGAAGCAGGCTGGTTTGCAACCCACTGGCCCCTGCCACTCATTAGATTCACCTGGGGAGCTTTTAAACGGAAAGATGCCTCAGCCCCACCCACAGAGATTCTGATTAATGCATCTGGCCCTGGGATCAGTGTTTTATAAAACTCCCTAGATGATTCTAAGGAGCTCTGGTGGCATAGTGCATAAGGCATTTGACTGCTAATCAGAAGGTTGGTGGTTCAAACCCACCCAGCCACGCCATGGAAGAAAGACTTAATCTACTTCTGTAAAGATTTTCCACCTCGGAAGCCCCAAAACCAAACTCACTGCTGTTGAGTCAATCCCAACTCATAGCGACCCCTCCTTGGGTTCCCAAGGTGGTATCTCTATGGAAGTAGATTGCCCAGTGTTCCTTCCAAGGCTGGTGGGTTTGAACCTCTAGCCTTCTGGTTAGCAGTTGATTGCCTTAGGCATTATGCCACCAGAGCTCCCAGAGGTTGCTATGAGTCAGAATCAACTCCATGGCAGTGACTTTAGTTTGGTTTTCTGGTTGTAGATGATTCTAAAGTGCAGCCAGGGCTGAGGACACTGGGCTAGATGATGTTCAAGTCCTTTCTGACTTAGTATACTGGGATGGACTCAGACACTGAGCCAAGATTCCTGGCTCACCAAATCTAATGAGATAGATTTGCAGACATTCAAGGGATGGATTTTCAGGTAGAGAGATCTTCCTAAAATCCTAAAATGTTTGATCTTTTGATGACTAGCTTGTTGGTGGTTTGTATGACTGTCCTACCATTCCTCTCACTTGTATAGATGGTGCTTGTCCTACCACAACCACAAATAAGTGTGCACAAGCACACTCATGCATACATACATGCATCACGAAGTGCTATAAATTTGTGTCCATGGATGTAGGAATAGCCATATGGGAATATGGTATATGTGCACACACAAATACACCCACTGTCAGAAACCCCAGACCCAGCACACTCAGGCTGCTTGGGAAACGATTCCTCTGGACTGAAGCTAGGCTATTTTAAATAAGTGGCATCTATCTGTCTTCCACACAGCCTCACCTAGTTCAGTATGGCAACTGGGGAGAGGAGCTTGCTGTTTGAGATGCTACCTGCCTCAAGGTGAGGCAGCTGACCTACAGGAGAATGCTGACTGCAGATACTGAAGACACCCTTGTTTCTTTCACAGATTCGAGCAGATGGTCCCCCTCATGGTGGGGTCCAGTATGAGATGGTCTCTGTGCTCAAAGACGGGAGCCCCATCCTCCGGGACATGGCCTTTTCCATTGATCAGCGCTACCTCTACGTCATGTCTGAGAGACAGGTAAGTCCCAACACCCTATCCTTCCTTCCTGAACCTCAAGAAGAGCTGATGATCCGAGGCCTTTGTTCAGTAGCTGTTCTGTCTAACAAGAGAGACCACTGGGCTTGCTGCACAGGGACCTTGGGAGAAGAAGGCAGAATCCCCGGGCTTTTGTGGGAACCAGAAAGAAGCAAACAGGGGCCAGCTACTTCCCGGAGGCTTGCTCTAGGCCACAGCCTCTGTCTCAGCATGTGATGAACAGCCCCGCAAGAATGGGCCAGACTGCACAGAGCAGCTTGGTGTGATTAGGAGGTAGATTTACTGCTCTCAGGCCCACAGAGTCTGCTGCTCAAGGGAGCCAAAGAGGTGTAAATAATCCAGGCCTCCAGGCTGGGCCCAATCCTGAGAGAGACAGACCCAAGATAGGCCCCCCACCTCCCCTCCCCCACAGGAGATAAAAATCTTGGCCTGAGTCTTAGACTGGTGCAGGGTAGAAGCTGGTCAGCTCTGGGAAGCTGCAACTATGCCTGCAGAGATGGAGAGCCCTGCAAAATAGATTCCTACCCTCTACTCAGTAACAACAGAGCAAGTTCCCAGTCCCTCAGATAAAGAATTATTTCCTCAAGTGGCCCAGATTGTATTTGCCCTCAATATTTATTAGAAGAGAGAAAGCAAATGCAGGGTGAGCCATGGAGAGAGGGTTTGCCAGATGAACAGAGATCCAGAAAGAAAAGCAAAGATCTTAGGAGAGGCGGATACATTCCATTCACTCAGCCAGTTGTCAAGCAGCAGCAATAATCTTGGCATTGTCCTAAACATGGTAAGACAAAGGCCAAAGGTGGAGAAAAAGGACTGTGGCTCAGTCTTGGCAGCCAAGGACACTGACTCACACTTCAGAAGGATGCTGGGGCTGGAGGACCAGCGAGCCTTCACAAGATCCCTCCCAGCTCGTGTGTCACTCTGCAAGGATTCTGGGTGTCCTTGATCAGCTTCACCCTTCCCATATTCTTCTTTGCCCCCTTTCTTTTCAAACATAAGGAACCTGAACTAGTAGAAGAGAGATGAGTGGAAGGAGCAAGGAAGAGGCAAATAGACACATGATACCATTAAGAGAAGCAGTGGTGCAGTTCTAAATTGAAAATTACTTGCAGATAGATGACACAAATCATATGCTAATGACATGCAAATCACATGCAGATATTCTTGAACCCACCTGTCTTTCTTACCTTCTTTCATGTGGCCCCTGCATAAATAGGTTCAGATGGGAACATGGTAGAACTAGAAGAGGCTCTGCCTTACCTAGAGTGGGTAGGACAGTCTGGAAATAAAACACTGGCCTGTAATTCCAGTAAAACAGTCAGCAGAGTCTGAGAGAACTCATTACTAGGTACCTCTATTCATTGGGAATAAAGTACTGGGAAAATATAAAAATGAATCAGACTTTGTTGTTGCCCTAATGTTGCTTACAGTCTAACGAGCAGGAGAGATCTCTGCCCAAACATCTGTAGTATCAGATTGAATTATATAAATGTTCTGCCCTTTCCTCCTATTCTTTGTTTTTAAGACAAAAAGTTACTTTTTTGACTAAAAATTTTAGATGCTTACCATACAAATTCAAACAATACTTACAGAGAAGAAAGAAGCACCAAGTCACAAATTTCTACTAGCCAGAATGTCACACCATGTTAACATTTGGTAAACACCATTCATTTCTACAAGAATTTATACAGATAGAAGAATAATGGATAGATGGCTACCTAGATAGGTGGATAAATGAATTGTCAGAGGGATTTGACAGATTCATATTATACCTGACATTTTTAAGAGACAATGTACATGGCAGGAACCAGGCAGGAGACTCTGGGTAAGAGACTCTCTGAGCCCCAAAACCCTACTGCTATTGACTCGAATCTGACTCATGGTGACCCCATAGGACAGAGCAGAACTACCCCATAAGGTTTCCAAGGCTATAACCTTTATGGAAGCACACTGCCTCATCTTTCTTCTGTGGAGTACCTGGTGCATTCAAACCAATGACCTTTTGGTTAGTAACCCAATGCTTTAACCACTACACCATCAGAGCTCCTCTCTCTGAGCCCAGTTGAGGTGGAAAAGCAGAAGAAGCAAATAGGAATGACCCAATGAGACCTTGATGAAAGTGAGAATATACTGAGGCATATATTATAGAGGCAGATCTTTTGCTCAAGTGGTATACTTTTTGAAATTGTATTCAAAATGAGGCCAAAGCAGAGGGTCTAGGTCAGGGTTGGAGGCTGATGTGTGGGCTTCATGAAATGAATGACCTTTTGAAGTTATGGCTAACCCTGCCATTAACATCAGAGCATCAGAGTGGTCGAACCAAGTGTCCTCATAGTGTATTAGTACACAGCCTCTCCTTAGCCCTCACCTTTTGCCTCATCTTCCCATTTCTTGTTACGCCTGCATACATTATAGGGCTTCCATAGTAGCTAATCATGATGAGCAGACAGAAGAAGAGTAATGGGTTTAATGCTACAGAGCTGTGTCTTGTCAGGTGAGATATTAGTAGGGGAGCTTCCCTGTGCCAGGTGGAGCTGTGTTCACGGGGCAAAGTCTAAGAGGGATTTGTGGTAGAGCTCTGAGCCCTGTCACCTGGATAGCCATAAATTCTGTAGAAATAGGTAGCCAGGTGACTTAATCAGGGGCTGAGTCCAGGGATGAGGGCCAAGAACAGTTCAGGAGATCCATCTATCTGAGGCTGAGCATCTGAGAGCAGAGAGTATTCACAGATAGTTTGGACCTTGTAAAGGAAATGCGTGGCAAGAGAACAGTCAATGAAAATGGAGTCAGATGACTTGAGTTCTAGGCTAGCTTTTGCTATAACAGGTAGTACGACTCTCTCTCAGGTTCAATTTCTTCCTTTCTAAAATAGAGGGCTTGCATCAGATAATAGGATAATCTCTGAAGTCGAAAGCTCTGAATTTGAATTCTATCTCACCCATTTTGTAGCTGAGTGGCCTTGGACAAGTCACTTGACATCAGTGTGTCAAGGTCAATGTGGGCCTCACCTGAGACAATAGATGGGAAATTGCTCTCTGCACTGCCTCACACATCAGACAACTAATCATCATTATGGTGCTATATGATCCCTTCCACCTCTCATGACTTTTTTATTCCATTGCTCAGGAATGCCGAGAGGCTGTTTCTGAGAGTGCCCGCTGGAAATAGCTTGTCTCAGAGTCTGTGAGTGTTGGTTAGAAGGAAGATAAGCAGCAGTGTGGTAGAGCCAATAGGCCTCAGGCTGAGCTAGGAGGCCTAAGGCCCCACCTGGGTGACCTACCCCAAGTCCCTCAACTTCTTAGGGACTCGGTTTCCTTACTTTCAAGAGGGAAGTGATAAATCTAACTCTAAAGTCTCTTTCAGATTTGATAGAGACTTGTTGTCTAAGGCTGTGGAATTAGGGCTTTTCTTCTCTAGAAGACAATGCCAAGGGAAAAATAGACAGACTTGAGGTTAGACCAAAAGAAGAACTTTCTGAACAAGAGATTTGTGAAGCAATGTGAGCCCATATGAACATCTCCTTTGAAGGGTGAACACTTCAGAGAGGATAGGAAAGCTTATGTGGTTATGGGTAAGTGTATTCCCATTTTGAGTCAGTGATATGTAGACCACCTTGGCATTCTCTAAAAGTCCAAAGACCATATAAGGCATCATAATGATGGGGTTTATCACTTCACTTTACAATAACTATCTAGACAGTCTGTTTTCATCCCTGTTATCTGTACTGTACCCAACCTTTTCCTTTGTGTTCCTCTGTCCCCTCCCTAAATATATACCCATGCTATCAAGTTGATTACAGCTCATCACAGCCCTATGTGACAGAGTAGAACTGTCCCATAGGATAGCCAAGGCTGCAATATTTATGGAAGCAGACTGCCTCATCTTTCTCCCATGGAGCAGCTGATGGGTCTAAACCGCTGACCTTTCAGTTGGCAGCCAAGCATTTAACCATTGCACCACCAGGGCTCTCCCTGTTTTGTCCTTGGGGCCATGGACACACTGTGAGAGAAGAACCCAGGTCTCAAGTTCTTCCTAGAAAGATTTTAATCTTCCCACAGATCTGGAACAAACTCACATAGCTCTCTCCCTCCTTCTTTCTCTCTCTCCTGCCACTCCTCTTTTAGAGTTAATTAAATGTAATTAAGAAATAGGACTAGTAAGAAGTGTTGGGTCATTAGTGCCACTGCCTAACAAGTCGATGTTAATGGACTGTTAATAGATCTAAGACACCAGTCCCAGGGGAAAATTTGGGAACTGATTCCCCCATCCTTTTAATTGCCCAGGCTCTCCACTTGTAGGATGCCCAGCTCTGCCCTAGAAAGTCCTCCCCAGCTTCATCATCACTGACTCAACAGATGTTATGGGTGTGAATACAAGTCAATCCCATAGCCTCAGTGTCTAATGGAAGTCAGACAGTGAGTCCAGGAAAAATCAGGCTACCAGCCAAGTGAAAAACCAAGCAGCAACAGCAAGATGAAAAGAAACTTGATAGCCCCGGTTTCCACCCAACTTGTCAGGCTGGCCACTCCCAGAAAGGGAATATAACTCTGCAGTCAGGGTAGATGGGAAAAGAGTATAGGGATGGAAGCAATTATTCTATTTTATACTTTAATTAGTTTGAATTAGCAGAGGGAATAGAGGCATAAAATGATCCAGTGAAGGGTGAAATGGAAAAAGAGAGTCACAGTGGAGAATGGCTCCGTGCAGGCCGGATAGGGCCTTGGGAACAGAAAGGCTGGCTAAGGGTGTAAGTGTGTTTGGGTGGGTGGGCCATGAAATGTGCTCTCTATTTAAGACCTGGAAAGGTAATACAGCAGAGTGGTTAACAGCTGGAGCAGGGAAGTCAGGCAAAACCCCATTCAAGCCATAGCCACTTATTAGGTTTATGGCTTTGAGAAAGTTATTTGACTTCTCTAAACCTCAGTTTCTTGATCTGTGTAATGGGCCTAATAATAGTAACTGTTGAGAGACTACCTAACACT